AATAATGGTGGAAAAATAGAACCCGATGCACTAACACAAGCAACAATAGACAAGTGAAAACTTGGAGTCACTGTCTTCGCCCATACATTCTGCGAACCCTTCATTGCAATTACAGTACCAGATTTTTTTCGTGACACAAAGGCAGTCTCGTCCATGTTGTAGATGCGGTCGGCGGTGATCTTGTTCTCGGCAATGGTCTTCGTGATGGAGCCAAACAGTCGTGTGACACCTTGTTCGTCAACCGAGTTCCTCGCGTGGGAAATGACTTGCGCGACTCGCTTGGTAAGCATTGGAAAGCGGTTTCTGAAGCGCTTGTACCATCCACTGCTGAGGGTGGTGCGCGTCGCGTCAATCTTGCGCAGCAGCTGGGTTGCCTTGACCATGATAGCTTGGCGATCAGGCGGGTAGCCATCACGCTGCATTGCTCCAATCCACGCCACGAGGTCTAGCTCGCACGTGTCAGGCAACGCCGTCGGTGGACCCATTCGTTTGCGTGTCTTGCCGGCCTTGGTTGCGCGGACGTTGTTCATGAGTGTATTGTAGTGGATTTGTGTGTCCCTAGCTACGTCAGTCCCCTTGGCCCCACCAATCACCAGAGCTACCGCCCAGTCCAGCTCTTGGCGCTTGTATAGTGCCATGTCGGCGCCAAATTCAAGATGCCAGTCAAGAAGTCATATAATCTTATGCAGGTTTTGCCGCCAATATTTCGAGCCAAATGATTGGCTATTGAAAATGCACCAAACACTGGTCCGTACACCAAAGACTGGTCGTTTACGTTAATATGATTCTTACTGACGGTAGTTTTACCCATCACTTCCTCATTTTGACTTGGAAGGAACTTGGGGGTTGGCCCCAGTCCACCGAAACCATGAAGTAGTAGTGATGCTGCTGGTCCTTCCTAACGAGAAATTCGAATTCGACTATTCGTCATTCGATGTCGACTTCAATAAGCACTAAGGACAAATGCTAGTGAGTGTACTCGAGAGTGCGATGAACTGCTGAAATGAGCATTAAGCTGATGATGGCACGAGTTGTTTGAGTCGCTGGGAACGGTACTTCTGCATTTTTGAAGTCGATAAAAATGATCGTCTTGGATGGCAAAGAAGCCATGATGCACTCTGATTGGTTAATAATCAGAAGTAAGGCCAGCCGAATTCCACAAACAAGTCAAATAATGCATTCTCCTTAAGTGCATTACAAGTATTAATTCGGAGGTTTTGGTGGTTTCGGCGCCTACAGCGGTCGTGCATTACATCCACCTCCTTCGGGCACTTTCGTTTGCGCTAGAAGGGAATGCACAGCGACCATAGAAACCCTCCATCCTTCAAAGGTTGCTGTTTCCAAGTACGGGCCGAGATCTACGATTGTGGGATGGATCACTGACGTGTGAGTGGACGTATGTGAGGTAATCATTCGGAATGGGCTTGTAGCATGAAACCTACTGGGATATGAGGTCCAGAAAAGCATCGACGAAGATAACCACCTTCGTCGAGGTTATGTCGACGACTATTTACTTACTGACAGCAACCGTTGATGGGTGGTTTGGCCGTCGAAAACATGATCCACCCATCAAGTCACATTGATAATGTCGACGACATCACTGATGAGCATGTCGACGATCCTGCTTTGATTGGTTAGTTTATAATACTATTGTAGGGGCCTTTTGGGATGATACCAGCCAGGGTCATACAACCTGTAATATAAATATGAAATATTGGAAAATAGTCTTAGAAAGATCATGATCTTATCTTCAATTTGAACTGATTTACGCCAATTTTGGGCAAAAAGTGCATGAAATATTGACAAAATGGCACGGACTTTCAGCCACTGAGGCTCCTTTTGTCATTAAAACGTTCACTTACTTCACTCAAATAAGACGTATAACACACAAGGGCTTTAATGAAGGATTATATACTGTGTTGTGCGGAGTAGATGGTGGAGAACGATGTGTGTCGATCGATGGAGAAGTTCCTCCTGCCTTGGGCAAGTCGCTTGATGAATTCATGAACCTTGGCCATCCAATAAAACGATGTGTTAATGGTAATTATAGCCAATCAGTGAAGCCGAATCAGATTTTTTAGTAGATACTAGCACCTTTAACACATTTTGGGTGTTGATTTCCATCGACACAACTTCCGCGCAAATTTAGAAGGCGACGGTGACCCTGGCTATTCATCACGTCAATGCAACCCATTTCAAGTGTAGTCTGAAGAAATATTCGAAAGCGGCGTTGAAATTGCTTCAGTAATAAAGAAGTTACAATGACCTGTCTGATGCATCTTCCCAAAAGGCCCCTACAATACTATAAATTTTACCGTGTACTAGTATAATTTTATGTTTACTACTAGTATCACTTCATATTATTTTCACGTCGACGAGGTCCCTTATATATACTTCCTCTGTTCCAGGTTACTGCCGACATTTCAAAATTCGCATGTTCCAAGTTACTGGCGACAGTTGCATTTCATTGGCTGTAATTCTTCAATTTCTATCAATATCGAACATTTATGACATTTCATTGGCTTACAATTGCTTTAAGCGCTGATTATAAACCAATCTTTTGCGAAAAGTCATGCAATTCACTTTCAAATAAAGTATCATTCGCCCAAATTGAGTGAGGTCTCGATTGTCTCTGTCAATTCAAAGTAAATGTCGGCAGCAACCTGGAACAGAGGAAGTATATAGTTATTTGTACCTGGTACATGTCTAAATGGAATTACAAATGTGTAGTACTATTTTATAGTACCTCGAAGTATTAACCCGGGCGTATGGGCCGCCCTGCGATTCGCAGGATGGTGGCTAAGCCAATGAATGACAAGAATAGTCCGAAAAAGCCAATACATTTTGGCCAATGAACATACCTTATTCTGAACTTCAAGCTGTAATTAAAAAGATTTCACCCATTGTCGTGCGATTCTCAGGTTAGAAATGATATATTCCAGCCAATCATATCAAGGTGTAATGGTACTGAACTGAAGGTTTGAGTGAGAATTTGTACTCGGACTTTAGTGTAGCGGTCAAGGTCTCTATCGTGAAATAGATGTGAATCCGCGTGAGTTCAATTCTCATTGTAGCATTCTTTTTTATATGGTCTATGATATACATGAAGGGATGTCTATTGCCTTTCAATCCGCTCTGAAGGCTCCTCACTTGCGTAGAAAGCATAAATGAATTAGTGATCGACATTCATATGCATGGTTGTACTTATGAATTTGTCATGAACAAACTCATGAACAGAACTGTCAATAGTATCAGCACGCAAATCGTACGCACAAAGATGCAAAGTACAAGTTCTAATTTATCTTTCAATCCTCACAAAGTTTTACCCTTGAAGCGTCTTTTAAGACTGTGTTTAATGTGTAGTTTACCTTATGAATTCCTTGTAAGCTCTCAACACATCTTATGACTCATGTAAATGAAGGCAGGTGCCAAAACTTCCTCGTCTTTCAGGTATTAACAGTAAGTATATCTCCACGATTGTGTTAGCATCCTCGCACAGTTATCATCCACAACACTTCTCATTAGACTATAGTTCTTGTGTTGTTTACTTTGGAAGGTCTAGTCTACTCACATTATCAAGCCAACAAGTAGACTTTCGTTTGAGATCCTCAATTTTCACGTAGTGCTTCGAGTGTTTCCTCAGAACATGCTGCTGTCATACATACACTCGCAAACAGACACATGCAAGCAAAAGAAGAACGTCATGTGGACTCCACACCACGTTCTTGCTCCACACTGTGGAGCGTAGCAGCTTACTGTGGAAACAAGAACATCAAAATACCAATGCAAAAACGAGTATAACTGCGGGAATTGAACTCACGAGAGATCCAGCAGCCCTTCCTTTTGCCAGACCTCTAAACCACTAGGCTGTTGAGTAGCATACGTTATCGAGCTTTTCACATAGTGTGATTCAAACTCCAACCGTTCAGATACGGATACTGCTTAAGGTATTACATAACTGTTTTGATTGGCTGAACCATCCATGGTTCTATTACACACGTTGATGAAATTTTATTGTTCTCTGCGGGAAAAGAAATATTCGTCTTTTTTCTGATTGGCTGCTGCCAACCTGCGAATCGCAGAAACCTACCCTAGTTGAAGCAAATATAATGACTTTTGGCATTTTTCATTTTATTATTTGCCTTGCCAACCTGCGAAGAATACACTTGAATAAAGTATTGGATTCTCCCCACACATCCGGGTTAATACTAGTAATAAATTACTATTATCTGAATTCGGATAAAGGCAGATCAGGTGTCTAACTCGAATTACGCAATACGGTACGTATTCCTACATGAAAAGCCTAATTAGAATGAATTTCGGTTAGGTTGAGGTTCTGAGAATTCTTTATGTGGAACACAGGAAGTATCAATATTAATACTAATACTACAGTAACTATGTACTACGGACAATATGAAACGATAGTATTTTTTGAAACAGTCACATTCACAGTTTCCCTAGTACATTCTAAAACGACCACAAGGAATCAATCTTTAACCTGGACGCCGAGGAAGATGGAGGTGTTGTCTACCATGCAATCGCTTCTGCACAGCCTGGCTCAACCCACGTACAGTCTGATATGATCCTCATATCCCTACTATTATGCCACCCACGCATAGATTCACGGTGGCTTCGACTACCAAGCTGTCGTGTCCGGAGGATTTTAACCTGCTCTTGGACGCCATTCAAGACACCGACGAGCCCAACGTCCGGCTCAAGATGGCCCGCCTCGCGCTCCTCTGGCTCCCCCTACCTGTACACATACACCTCTCCTTGCAACCTCCCTCAAGACGACGGGACGACGTAGGAGGTGACGTCCCCGCAGGTCGTGGGCTGCGTGCACATCCTCGCCACAGACGTATGGTCCCAAATCCGAAAGGACGCGGCCGTGGCGGTGGGGCGCGTGCTGCCTGTGCTACCGTGGTCCACCGTGGAAGCTGTGTTGCACGACTTGCTCCAAGTATTCAAGCAACCCCCCGACGAAGGCGATGATGACTGGAAGGGGCGAGAGGGGGCTTTTCGGGTGCTCGCGAGTATGTTGGCCCAGTTCAAAAAGAATACCACCCCCCCTTCGACTGGCTTTAGCCTGGGCACACGAATGATGCAGTACCTCCCGTCCGCGCTCCTTTGCGACTTGAAACCTGTAAGTGGTACCTATATAGTTTGTGAGCTGCTAATTTTTAACAGTATTTTCAGGAAAGGGTATGAGTGCCTAAACAGACAATAGAACTGTGTATATGCTGTATAACTGGAAGAGTGGTGTAACATTATGTGTGTCTTTGCGTGCTGGGTTGATATGTAGTCTAATATTGCATATGTTTCTATTCATGTTGATCGCCACTTGTGTACATAGGCTGTGTACCAAGCGATGCAGCACCCCCAGCTGAGTGTTCGAGAGCACGCTACTGCTGCCATCATCCGCTACGTAGCGTTGAGTGATGCGTTTACTCAAGTATGTATGATGCTCGTCACCTATAAACGACCAACTTTTCACAAAATTTTCTGACTTCTATTTCATATTCATTACTCAAAATTTCAGCAAATTAAGACGTAGAATCGACAGATCTCAATGTGGTGAAGAAATTCTACGTCTCAGATTCAAATTTGGTGATGAAGTGATCCAGAAATAGATATTTAACCTAGTGGTATTTTACATGGGCGCATGGATATTTGGCCATACGGGTGGCCTCTGAGATGTATCTTGATTTTTGTATGTGACTCTTATCCGTATGTAATATCCGGAGGCAGTTGGGACCTTTAACCTCCCACTGCAGTGATAAAACGCATAAAATCGATATTTAACGTTTTGGTTTTTGGGTTTAACTACATTAATTGTACGTTAAATAATAAAACCTCCACTCTTCGATTTGGCCAGTTGGAAGTTTTTAGATGACGTGCATCATACTGTACATTAAACCATCGGGAAAATGACACGAAATTGTTGTTTTTGCTCATCATGTACTATACGTATATTGCATGACGATAATGCTATTAGATATCCACGTTTCAAGAAGTGATGAGCAAGCTCAACTTGTATTCGCCCCATGAAGTGCTCCCAGCGGCCCACGCCGAAGGTACTATCTAAGCAACTACGTCCAGAACGGCCTGCACTCATGTCGGGTTCTAGGGCTACTAGACGTGGCGGCACAACTGGTGCCACACATTCCACTGCCGTTTTTGACCAAACACTGGCAAGTGGTGTTTCCCACGTGCGAGAAATACGTCATGCATGTAGCGTCGACCGTACGCCAAAAGTCGGCCGGTAACGTACACTGTGTTGTTTATCGTTCATATTGTTACGTATTGATTTGTTATCTCCAGAAATAACTGCTAAGGTACATTTAACGTGTGACCATCACATTCAGGGGTTCCTTGGTTACCAGGTTATTTTTGGCTCGCACTCGTCTCTATGACTTTTGGATGCAGTTGTGGGAAGTTAGTTACCCACTTATTTTGGACTCTCAGGTTGATAATATAATTTATGCCAAAATTTGGATTTTTGGGCTTCGTTACCAAATCCATCGATCGATTCTACTTGTTCTAAAGTGTGTGTGTACAAAGTGTCGCCCTGCACACGAATTTCGGTCATACACTTCTTCAATGTGGAATGGCTGAAGAGAGGAGTTGATTGGCTACTTGATTCATGTACTGTGTTTTGATTGGTCCATCGATTGTCTGGCTGCTCATTCGATTTTATGAGCCCCTCAACTCCAATGTCGAATCGACTTGACAATAATACTACTATTGTGTTTACTGCGTATGAAGCAACGAATAATAGTCAGGATGTATTCATGATCGGCGTAATGTGCGTTGGCACATTGAAAGACTCTACTTGTTTTTTCCAAACTTATGTTCCTTTCTTTGGCTACTGTTATCCATGAATCACATCGGACGGTATCGCGTTCGACCAATCCAAAAGCTTCAATTTCATTCAACGTCTTTTCTATAATCTGACCAATCACGTGAACACAATATAAAACGCATCGCCAATAGATTGGTAGAAATGAAAACATCCACAACTAACGTTATGTGCAAAAAATCCCATCAAGGGACTCACATTGGATGGACAGGATTGATCGGGGCGCTGGCAACCTTGAGCACCACTTCCATCGAAGCGATTCCGCTACTGGCGTCCATTTTAGAGTCTTTGGCCCTACCATGCTCGCAGCACCCCGACGCCAACCAGCGCGAGTTCTTCTGGCAGCGCATGGAAGGCCGACTCATGGGCATCGACAGCCTCGTACATGTGCTGGGTGTGAACAAGCTGACGAGCATATCGAGTCAGCTGCTTGCGCCACCGACGAAACCGGCGCCGAAAGCGTTTCAGTCGTTTCAACACACGTACGTGTACCGTATTTGCCGTGGATCTATTTTACCGATATAAAGAAAACGTGAATATAATTCAAAATAGTCATCAAGAGAATATATCTCAAATATCAATGGATCAATTGGAAGAATGATATATATATATTTAAATGCTGTTCAAATTGAATTACGTCGTGCAAAGGTAGTACGACAAGATACGGTTGAACAGTAGTGCAACCTCATTAATATCCATCGTGAGACCACCGCATATTCGTGTTATATATATATATATGTTCATATTCGATTATTTATATATCAATGTACAACGAACGACGCGTGATTCGGATATATACGATATATGTATCACGTTGGTGCTTACATACATATCTTACTTGTAAGATTCCTCTGAAATGAAAAATTAGTGTCTACTATTAATAGAATATCTGTGGTACTTATATACAAAAACCACACTTGGTTATCTGACTACAGGATGCAGTTGTACAGTGTACTACTAGTAAATAGTATTGGTATTGGCGAAACAAGAATAGGTGAAAATCGACGAATTTATATTTTTATATATTTATTTGTATTTGTTGTTGTCAAGCACATATTTATATGCTACGTTATGTTTTTAGGATGGACGAGTTATTGCATTTTGACAACGAATATGCCACCTTGATGGGAACATTCGCATCTTGGGTTGGTGAGAAGACGTCGCCGCGGCCAAGCCACTGCATCTTGGCACAGCTGCCCCCCAACCTACTTCATCGCATTTGGCATGCCTACGTCCGCCATACTTACGAGTGCTTTCAATCTCCCCAATACGAGGCATAGTATACATCTGATGGGCAAAATCGTTAATATTTTTTTGCATTGGTTTTCGTAGCTCAAACGCATGGCGGTGCAGACCCTCCCGGGGCTTGTTCGGTTGAGTGTATGGCTTGATGATCCAGCGATTTTGGTGCCTGCGTGGCTGCCGACAGTTGAGCCGGTGCATCCGACGTTCATTTGCCTGGTTATCAAGTCGCTTGCGTTGCACACCCGATTCCTACATGAAGTAAAATGCTCATATATATAATATATTTATGTTATAAGGTCATCACAATCATACCCCATCGTAGACAATAACGAACACGAGAAGTGTGTCAACGGATGATCCCAGGATCCTCTCTTCGTTATTGATAACTGCGACTATTGAGACTGCACTGAGTGTGTTGCAGTCCCTGCAACCAGGTGAATACAAACCACAAAAATTATATTGATTATATATATATATATTCCTAATATTCTCTTGGAAATAGCACTGTTGGCCGTGGACGTGACCCTGCCAGTGGACAAGGCGTTAAGTCTGGCATATGTCGAAGCTGGCGCCTTGCTGCTGCTGTTTCAGTCTGCTACGGCACTGGACACAAAAACCCAACCAGCTAATGCTTTGTTGTTGCAAGCTGTGTTAAACGTGCTGTGGGCGTCTCACGTCAGCGACGACCCAGCGGTGGACCGTGCGATGAGGTATGATTATTTATAATATATATATATTATTCTCTTAATTTTTATAAAAAAAACACTGAAATATCATCAATATGTCGTTTAATACTAAAACAATTATAGCTCGACGGTGGTTCGGTATTTACCAGGGCTAGCACTGCTCCCGCTAACTCAAGACCAAGCGACGAGACTGATTCAAATATCGTTATCATGGCTCTCGGCTACTGACAGCGTAAACATCTATATATCTTGTGGAGGGTAATATATATATGACGAATCGGATAGCTGCGCTGGATTGTCGTGGATGGCAACGAAGCGCGATGTCACTTGGTGGACGCGCTCGCGGTGTTGGCGTTGCATGTACGTTTGTGGATTTGTTATACAATTGAAATATTATATATATAATATGACTTGTAGTATCAAGTACTAGTGTATTATATTCTTTTTTGGCTCTGTTCCATAATATATATATATATGTATTGTTACGCGACGTTGCATGGATTGTAGGCTAGACCACCGTTGACCAATGTGTGGAATTTGCACGACATCACGACCGCTGCGGCGCCGTTTTTACTCCACCCTACGGTGCCGTTGCGCCTCTTTGCCAAGGTATATTTCTATATTACAAAATATTACAAAATACGATGTACTTTAAACAGGAATGTGTGCTTGGAGCTTTGGTTTCATCGTTCAACTCTACCTAGTAGTAGGCCTATTAATCCTACTATATATCCCATTGACTTACTACTGTTAAATGTGTCGTAGTTGCTGGTGTTGGTGTCGGCCGTGGCTGCGTTTAGTCGGGCGGAGTGTGTGCGGCCGCTACTCCACCTGTTGCTAAGGCCAGAGGTACATACTAGAAGTACTAGTACCCCTCAAGCGATGTCACATATTTTCACGATCATGTATATACTAACTCATGCCATTTGTTCATGTGCCGTCTAGATCTCGTTTCAATGCGATGCCACCACCGCTACTTTCCCCACCACGTCGTCCTTGACACCATCTCCTGTACTCTTGTATCTATATGTAACGTTAGTACTGCATTCAAGCCCTTAACTGGTAGTACGATTACTAGGCGGTGTTTAACGAATGGGATGACGACAGTGGACAAACAGCAGCAGCAGCTCCAACGACCGACAGGAAAGCCGTCTGTTTCCAGGCGTTCTGGACGTCCTTTGACGCGCCCAGTGCGTCGGGGGGTCGCGTCTCGGACCTCGTGACAGGCACTTGCACTCCGGACGAACGATTGACCCTGGAAACGTGAGTAGTGTTTGGATTTTGATTGGCACGAACCAACTAACCACAGGGTTCCGTCAGGTTGCAACGACGTGGCAAGAAGATCTAAGTCATATCCCCGTTGGAAGAGATAGATTTAAAAGTGTGTCTTTCGTAGTCCTTTCATGTACCATATGCACTCAATTTCATAAAAAAACGAAAAAGTATTCAGCGACATTTTCTGGATTTTGCGAAAATATTTTTTCCGGATACGTTTCCGACATGGACTGACAGTAAATCATCGCCGACCAGCTTATGCTAACAGTTGTGACGACCATTGGTGGAGAACTAACCACTACTACAGTAGTAATAACTACGAAGTACTATTGATACTACTAAGAGCATCTCCACCGCATTCCAGTAAATCGACACACCAATATCCGCATACTGTTCGGATAACAACCTCCAGTATTGTAATGGGCTGATAATTCAGGATAATTCGCACCGCAAAGCCCAACTCCAGCCAGTAAATCCACCATCATTCGACCAGGCTGAGTGGAAATCCGCGTTAATTTCGACAATGACGTATGCTTATCACCAGGAATGGCACGCAATAGACAGATTTCGGGACACGTTCCCATGCATTTGCCGTCAATTTACCTCGTTAAGATTTATCGAGTGTACGGGAACTGTCAAAATTTATGTGGGATGCCGTAGAAACGACCATTTGTACGGCAAAAGTCACCCCTCCTCTAGGGCTTCATCATTGGTCTTAAATCGTGGATTTCAACCAGTCGCGCATAATGCACACTGCTTCACCCTTCCATGCCCGAGTGGCCTGGTGTCCAGCCTTTTCCACGCTAAGTTAGGCCATTCCGAGAGTTCAGGTGGAGCGATTACGTGCATCTTATCTTGTCTTATTCATTCAGCCAGTTATCCTGAACCTTATCCAGCAGTCGGCGTAATTGCCTTGGTTCGATGTCCTGCCACGACGATTTGAATATGGGGCTTCGGTGTTTCACCTATAGGCGCATGAAGCGTACAGAAAACTCACAATTCTCTTCCGCATGTGCACATAAGTCGACATGGTCGAATACGCAGTTGCCCTCCTTTAATCATGAACTAAAATCACCAAGCAGTTTCGTAAGGTGTCGTAAAGCCACTCCCTTGCTCAACGTGGCACGCAAAAACAGGGATCATAGTGATAGTAAAGTTGTGGACCCATGAGGTGTGTGACAAGACCCCTTCGTGATGCCAGTTGTGGTAATGGGGCCACATGAGTAAGCTTACGCAATGCAACAACAGGGAACTATGTGCGGTGTGGATTCGCCACCACACCACACATGCAAGCATACGGATATCGTTCCTCATGCGGATGTGGTAAATGCAAATTAGTTTTGTCGAAATCATGAGTTGGGTCTGCCATATATTTCCCGTGCATTAAAATTTCCATGCGTGGGCAGTGCTTCCGAAATCTGTCTAGGTGATTCATGTAATTCCCGGCCAGCATGCAATTCCCGGCCAGCAAATGGCCAATCACAATCATCCATGGACGATGATAGGACAAAATTACGTACTCTTGTATCACATACTTGTAAGATTTAATATTCTGTTTGTCTAACATGTAATACAGTTTTTATATTAGTTGCACTTCTAAATTTAATTACTTGAATAATTTATACATATCATTATTAAGAGGTTCTGAGGATTTTGTCACCCAAACCAGGTATACATTATTCAAGTGACTTACTGGCCGGGAATTAAATTCACACAGGGAAATTTCAATTTTAGAAATTCGACGAGCAAATTGACCATGCGATACAAATGATGGGACCTGCATAAAGTTATAAAGCTCGTCACGATCTTCAAAATGCATGTTTTCGCAGCCTCATTGGATGAATGGGTGACGAGTTATGGCACTCAGAAAGTAGACCATACTGGCCGGGAATTACATGAATCACCTTATTGATGCGCAACATGCATGCATATGTACAACGTTATGTATCCTTATCACCAGGAATGGCATCGACTATAGTTTCTCGTTAACTAGTAAACGGAGTACGGTGATTACAGACATAATAGGCATCTGCCAGCTCGATAGGACCCGCGCTATTGACCTTTGAATGCAGCGGTCAATTGCGCGGGTCCTGTCTGTAACATTAACAACACGGCTACCGGCCGCGAAGACATACCCACCGCCTGCCGCACGACTCTCGCCAACGCGGCAAGCCATGCAACTTCGACCGGCGCAAGACAGACACCGCCAACCAAGGCAGGATCGGCCTCGCACCGGCGCAAACAAGCAACCAGCCGCATTCGCTTGTGGTCGATGCTGCCGCCTAAACTTGCCACGGCAGCACCAACCGCAGGCGAATGCGCTATCGGCCGCAACTGACCTACGCCGCAAGAGTCATCACCACAAGTCATAAGTTATTGACTGCGGCATACATACCGTGCCAGGGCCGCCGCACCTCGACCTATGCCATCATCACCGACCGTGGAGGCTGCTCGCTTCGTAGTACATTTTTATGCACCGATGTCTCTATCCGGCCACTATAACCGGATACTGACTCCAGCAAATCCAGTACAAGTCCATCAAATCTGTGTGACTTTTACTGGAATATTTGCTGGTCAGCAAAGTACTGAACCGGATACTGGTGCAAAATATTTCAGTAAATTTTCAGTAAATCAGCACACAGATTTACTGATTGGGCAATTTGCTGGGCGCGGTGGAGATGCTCTAATACTCACAGTCGGACTTCACCTACAGTAAGTTATCATGTATCATACGTATAACGTAGATGGCCAATTTATGGTACACTTGAAAGAGGATGCAGCTTACTCGCCTCTCAGTACCTGGATTTCAATTCTGAAAAGTGCTGTAGGAAGCCGAATGGTTGAATACACTTCAGCTTACAGTTCATTTACTTCGCTTTCCACTCAAGTCAGGGCAAAATAGGAGGGACGGCTTATGGTACTTCGAAGTACATGGTTTAAGCTTAAAATATGTATGCAATTTTTTGGTTATTTCATTTTTCTAGTGATTTGATTGGCTATTCCAAAACTCAAGCAATTCCATTGGCCAATTTGAGTGCACCTTAAATTCGTCATTCGATGTCGACTTCATCGGGTAGAGTTTAACTGCCCTGTGCACCATACCAGGTCAGGTAGCAGACGCAGTGAAAGGAATGCGACTGCCGCAAATCCCGAAACTCCGAAACCCCACGTTAGCGTTACTGACCAACGAAGCGAAACAAAAATTACACCAGTATATTATATGGAGTACTTACTGTAATGGTGCCAGTAACTCCCGTATCCGAGCAAGTTATACTGGGACGAGGCATGGCAAAAACAAAACAACACATTTCAACATGGAGGTTAAGTTTTACTAGTAGTATAATACTACGTAGTACTACTGTACATCACTGGTGATGTACTGTATAATACTATGGAGGTTAAGTTTTACTAGTAGTATAATACTACGTAGTACTACTGTACATCACTGGTGATGTACTGTATAATACTATGGAGGTTAAGTTTTACTAGTAGTATAATACTACGTAGTACTACTGTACATCACTGGTGATGTACTGTATAATACTACTACTGTAACTTGAGCTCAGGAAACCAGTACAGTACAGTACTAGTACTTACTACGAACATGCGCAAAGTGGATTTCACGCGGCTTGTGCGGAATTCACATATGCCGAATTCGTTGGAACTTTTGAGTAACGTTACCGCACCGTACACAATATCTACACGGGCTAAATATTTACCCTAGTTTGCTCGTCGCGTTCACAATACCTATCTGGACAACACAATTATATAATTTTGACTTGGTATTAGTAATGGGAATTCAACTGTACCTATTCTCCAATTGGTCAAAATATTTAAATCTGCGGTTGAATTCGGCCATTCTCGAGCAAGGGTAGTTATTGTACGTCAACTAGCCAGCGACAACAAATATCAGTATTACGTAGAGAGAGAACAACTAGAGTTAACATGATACTAGTATGAATTAATACACGGAATAATACCTCATGGGCTACTTGTTGGGGTCGCAAACCAACCCAGCCAGCCAGCTCAAAGTGGAGGCGGGCGAAGAGCAACCGTGAACATCCGTCCGAAGATTTCAACAAATTCGAATCAATTTGACCCTGATACACATGGAATGTCACACTGGGAAAATGTTCAAGAGAATGCCAACACACAATCGAAACACAAAATGTCCACCAATGGCGATACACAATACCCAACCATGTGGCGAGCTCGGCCGCATAATTCATTGCGAACAGTTTCATTTTCGATTTCATCACCATGCAACCATTCGGCCTAGTCCTCGCGTTTGTTGCCCTGCTCGCTCATGACGCCACCGCCCAAGCTGCGTGCTCAACCACAGGCCGCTCGGTCACAGTATCTGGCTTCGTCATGGATAACTTTTGCATTCAAAGGGGCACCCTGCTGGACAATCCCGATGTGAAGACTCTCGAAGGCCCCGACGCCCACTCGATCCATTGCCTCGTAGACATCAAGCGCTGCGTCGATTCCAAGTACACCATCTTGGCCCCGCCTGGGAACGGCTCTGACCTTTACTCGGTCAAGTATCAGCTGGACGAAACTGCCACGGCCACCGCCAAAAGTTATGCCGAAGCTGCGCGGGAATTGGGCGGAAAGAAGGGCTTTTCCGTGACTGTGACAGGGGTAGATGACGGCACCCCCGTGCTCAAGTGCGTGGAGGTGTCCAAAGATGTCGTGGTCGACGGGAAAACGCTTAGTCTGCCCGCCACCACGTCAATTAACTCCGCTTCGACGCCGTTCACTGTTGGGTCTATGGTTCTGGCTCTGACTGCAGCAGCGTCTGCTTTGCTTGTATAAACTATGTAATAATCAATATAACGTTACACCTTTATGCTAACGTTCGTACTGGGATTGTGATTTGTGGTTTTTGCTCCAACTTTCCAGATCGGGACAAGTATGGTTTTATGTTTGAAGAGAATAAATAGAATCGACATCTCAGCCAATCGACGACTAGCAATTATGGATTAGCCAATCGCGGCGATTGGGAATGGTTCAGAAATCCTAACCAATACTACCAGTAGTATGCGGGAAAGTCACTCGAGATTTTGCATAACGTTAACAGTAAGAAATACTAGTAACTAGTTAACGTTACTATAATATTAATACTACTGTAGTACGTACAGTAGTCCAATAGTAACTAGTACATTTATTATACTATTAATACTATTAATATTAATGGTACAGGAAATCAAGACGTTCACATACTGTCACATCATTTCGGTGTTCAAGGGTCCGAGCGTCAGTTTCATGGCATGTCTCTATATGTATTGCAAATGTCTCTTAGTGACATTTTGGCAAGATCATACAAGTAACATTGTGATATACTGTTCTCGAATACTAGTGATTTATAGTGACATGTTGGCCTTCGAATAATAGTGACATTTTGGTATCCGGTGGAGACAAACACTGGGGCCGCTGACCTTTCGAAATTGCAGGCTTCGAGGTTTCTTTGCAATACGGGTTTTGCGTGTTATGCACGTTCGTCCAGGTTTAGTTTTTTGCTGACGACGTGCAATGAATGTTATTAAAATACTTGGTCAAAGGTTTACTTGCTGTAACAAGTATAGAACAGTAGAACAGTATCCAGTCGTGGACTGTTGCGGCATCATGCGTGAATACTAATAATACAAATTCTGAATACTCGAATGTGTCTCTTGGCAACAAAAACCGGATACAGTAGTATACAGTAACACTCGAACATGACATTACAATTACACCAACGACATCGCAACCCAAACGGCGGTGATCATCATGCGATCGACGCGGACTTGGCTCGACCAGGCATGACAAGTTCATTGCACTTGTATTCGGAAAACGATGTGTACCCTGGTTTCGTTTCAGGAGGCTGGCCGATAAACGCAGCGTACGCTGGTGTGCTTTGCATCGCACGCGACTGGTTTATGGCGTCCAGGACCTGCTGCAGTTGGTCCTGTCGTTCGACGAGTGTGACTTCTGGAGTTAGCCGAATCAACAAGTTTGTGATCAAGTCGACTTTGGGCAGGTCGGGAAGGATGAACCCTAGCGCTTTGAGTTGCCGGTGGAGCTCGGCGAATTGCTTGAACCGGCGGCGAACGACGTACGCGTCGGGACCAGAGGATCGAAGACTCAGTGGCACTTCGGGATGTACGAGGATGTTGAATGTGACAATGTCGCCCTTTGTGGACTCTACTTCGAGGGTGGCCCGGCCCCAGTCCAAGATGCTCATGGTGCGGCGGGGGGGATTTATGGGTAGCATGGGCATGATGACGGCGCAACGATTTGAATAATGAAAATCGGCTTCTGTGTCGTATGTAGAGTGAACGTAATAAGCATTAAGAGTGACAGTTCCTGCAAAGGGTGGTCACTTTTGGTGGAGATTGTAGACAAACTATTGGGTCCTACGTAGATTTCTCAACTGTATCTATGGATGTACCTCCGAGTATTTATATTTCACACTAAAAACCCTGCACAGTTGATGTTTTGTGCATCCAAAAAGATACCTCGAAGTACGAAATTTTGGCCTTGATGTGCATCCATACCCTGGAAAACCACTTCTCAGCGATTTTATGTTTTTCGTATCGTAAAGTCGACCTCCTGCTTTTACCTAGTGGTGTACGGTCAGCGAACTTTCGCAAAGTGCCAGCATTACATGTCTCCTCATCAGGGAGTGCATCGTCTCTCGCTTCCACAACGTGCAACTTGGACTACCCCGCCTATAGTACTGTAGTAGGTGTGTATCCAGTGTCCAACGTTGATATTTCGGACAAATACCCCCACCCCACAAGCGGGGTATAGTAACCGTTGCTTGTGACTCAAATTATCACTGTTGTCGGTTTGAGAAAAATTGTACAGCCAATCACAACACACCAAGTTTGCACAAATAAGTACAGTCATGAGGATTATTACCATTGCAAAAACACCATCATCCATGTCAGCTAGATGCTTACTACGGTAGTACCACTGATGATGCACTTAACCCCGGGAATAACTTTATACTTCGACGAATGTGCCCACCAGGGGTAGGACGCGACGCAGTCCGAGGTTACAAGTTCTTTTTTGTATGAGTGCCATTGGAGTTCGTCTTATCTAAGGAATTCTTCCACAGGGGGATTTATATACCCCTGCTGTGGGGGAGTTACAGTACCGGATATTTCGCCATTGTTAGCTTGATGAAAGTACAGTAAGTTAACTGTACTTACTGTACCGTATTGCCTGAGAGCAACAAAAACAGTTCGACTTTTGCTTACGTAATTGTTTCACTTGTTCTTATTATGCAACAGTCAAATGCAGTGTAAACCAAAACAACACTTTACTGTGGTTAGCCATAGCTAACCACAGGTGATGCAACTTAACCCCTAGAATAACAACACAAGGGGTCCGGCGGTTCCGAGGTTACAGGGCTACAGTACTGGTTCTGTTGAAGGGAAATAAATACGTAAGCAACAGTGGAACTGCTGCTATCAGCGAATTGTTCGAATAGGACTACGTAGTACTTTTGTAACATTGTCAATCTATTACTGTACATATTGAAGTCACCACAAACACTTGGGTCCATATGTAGAAATTTGTGCAGTACAGACACGCTTGAACTTGCCGTTCGTTCGATAGCATTGCATCGCTTTGCAGGAACGACCATCTTGATTGTGAATGGAACGTCATTATGGACAGTCTATACTGTACCGACTTTGCCTGTACAGTACTACCGCCTTGGCGACATACACATGAACGTCACGTACGTGCATTTCAAGCTGATGAGAATCAGACAGAAATCATGTACCGGTAGTATCAGGGGGAGGTCGAGTTAATCCGTTGGGTAAGTAAGTACAAGTTCGACATTTCTCCGTTCAGTAAGTACACGATTGTATTAATTTAAATTCACGCAGCTACCTACGGCACGGTTATTCGATATCGTACCTACGCTACAAATTTCAGAGCTACCTACACTGTGGAAGCAGCAGAATGACAGCATAGCTGAAGTGTAGTTGCAGATCTGCTTCCAACTTTGCTTCAAATCCACATACAGACCATATTTTACATCGACATCCATGATACCTCACAGCAACAGCAGACACGACCAACTTCTCTCGTACTGTACTGTACTCTTAATTGATGTCCCCTTTCCCAAGTAACGTTATGGAGTACTGTAAATGTAAAATGCAACAATCTCATTGTATTAATAGCTGCACGGCATGTTGTGAAGTACGTAGTAGTACAGTACTTTGTACTAAACTGCCTCCTACAAGGACATCGAATCTTCATGATGTAGCTAAAGCTCGTAGCTACGTGAATTTAAATTAATACAATCGTGTACTTACCGAACAAAGATATGTTGCATTTGTACTTACCCAACGGATTAACTCGGGGGGGACTGTGGGGATCAGGCACAGTGAAATCTCTGGTGCATACATATGTAGGTCCGCGAACTTGAAGTACAGTTAGAGTCATATGGAGTGTCTAGGCGTGCTTAAGATGAACCCATGTACTATTGGTGATCAATACAAATACCAAGTAAAAGTCTCATCCGGGTAGTGGCACGGTCAAGAGATGTTTCCCGAACAAGAAAAATCTATAGGACATTCGGTGACGTGCACGATTGGGGCTAAGTCCTCACCAAAGCATAGTCTGCGCAAAATTGTACACCCGACCTCCTCTAAGCTACTGTGGGCGCGTGTTTGCGGATTCTGTGTCGTCGCTCGCTACAGATCAGTGCACTTAAGGCGTGTCTGATGTGAAAAAAAGAGTTATTTGCGGGATACGAGCCAGTAGTCACATTGTATGCTTTCCCCATCACCCGACATACCGGTATACTGAATAATTCCCTCAGTAAAATGTTTTCACTGTTGTTCTGTAATATCTGTCAATGGGGAATTATCACATCCGGGCACCCGTTTTAGCCCGTACTAGTAAGTAGCCTTGTAATCTGGGGCTCCATCCTACCCCCGATGAGTGCACTAATGCTAAATCCCCGGGGTTAACTGCATCGCCAGTGGTTATCCATTGAGGAGCACTTCACCCTTAGTAAGAGTAGAGGTGGTTTACAAAAGTTCGATATAAACACTCAAATTGCAGTGTTTATGAGAATAACAATAGTGGTACTGTTTTACTGTTAATGAGGGAATTGTAAACGTAACGTTACTGATCAATTTCACACTAATGTATCGAACCTCACCCAGCCCTTTACAGTACGTTTGATATGGATGTAGAAGAACGTTTCAGACCATGTACTTCAAGTCCAAGGACTCACACGAACTGTACGTCCCGTGAAATCTCGCAATGAAAAATGCTCCGAACAATCCCAAAGCATATGGTGCGTGCATCGGGGACAAGTCTTTTGAACAAATGGAGGTTGTTGGTTTATAAATGATAAATATACTATGTTACGGCAGCTCAATGATGAACGAACACATTTTTAGTCGGCGGCACGGCAAATCTTTTGGAAAATCGACAGCCTCGAGAACGCCGCACTGGCACCCCCATCGTCGGTTTGGTTGCCTTGGTCGTCGTCGCTGCTGCTGTCGTCACTGCGTGCCCCTACTTCCTTGACCCCCGCCCCTGGACCCATAAGAGGGGGCTGCAGCTTGAACGACGAAGGCACACTCAAATCGATAGTCGCCTCCATCTCAGGTTCCACCACCAAATGGCGACGCGGGTTCACACGGGCATGACGAGCCCCTGATGACTTCATGTTTTCGTGATCTTGTTCGGCGCGGGTCATCGAGCCTTCGTCGTCGCTCAGGTCTTCAGGGGAAAGGTTGCGGTCGTGGATGAAGCGGCATCGCGTGCCGTACGTGCACTTACCTGTGGACAAGAACGCTTTGCATTTCGTGGTCTTGTACTTGGGATGGCGCAGCACCCCCCGAAGCTCGTCTTCGCCGTGGGCAAACTGGCACTTGGTGCCATACCGGCATGTCCCGGTCTCAACAAAGTGCTTGCACAACTCGGTCTTGTACAGCGTGTTCCGGGCGGTGTTGGGCAGGCGGCCACAGTCGACGATGTCGCCATTCGTAAGAACTTTGACGGTGGAACTCGTCGACGCCAGCGCCGTTGCCATGTTGCCCAAACCTTTCCGAAATGTGGAGGTTGCGGATGTGCCCCTTCAGGGCTATGAATAGCATCTGGGCCCAGCCTCGACCAATCGGCGAGGGATAAATCCGAGGAGTTACAAGACGACGGCTAAAAAAAGCAGAGAGCGAGCCAATGCGAAGGCAGGAGGGTGGAAAGGGGGTGGCCAATGGCAGGCGGGGATTCATGAACCGGCGGGAAAGGCGACCCAATCACGTACGAAAGAACAACGAGCTAAGAGAGAAGGGAAATGGATGGGGCGACATCGCCTTACTACTGTAACTTCAACTCGTCATTGCCGCCCTTTTTTCTGAGATATCCGTGGGGGCGATGTGCAATACTAGTATGCTGCATACTGTAGTGGTAGCGTGTTCGTATTTGCTGTAGGAAGAGTGCTTCGTTTGAGCGTTGAATTGCTTCATGTTGTAACGGTACCAAGATTGAGTGAACCTGCTAGGATGGACGAGATTTCGCTGACTGTGAATCCAGTGAAACCCATCTTGCAGCATGATTCAGCCTCTGCTTCAAAATATGACGCTCCACATCGTCAAATTACAATTAGGAAAATGATCTACATCGTCAAGATGGTGATCGACAAACTGGTTTTCCAAGGCAGTTCAGAGTAAATTACTAAAGGAGCAACCTGTGTGTGCTTGGTAGCGCAGATACCGGTAAGTAAGTTATTGAGTGTTCACGTTGAATGAGTGTAGCTCCAGTGGATCAGTGACTTGCAAAACCTCTCAATGACCTCTCACATTACCTCACAAAACCTCTAAAATTGAGAGGTTTGGCATGTGTCCGTTGGCAGTCGCGTTCCACTTATCTGCCAAAAGCAGAAGTCGACCTGTCAAACCTCATGTAGAACGCGAACGGGTCCTCTTACGTGTACATCTGATTGCCATTCCGCGTAAAGTGTACCGACTGGCAATCCAGTCTGCTCCGTGGTAACTGCATATGATTGGCTGTTCTTGGCCAATCAAGAACTGCACGACCCTCCAACCAAACTTGACACGCCAGGTTTGAGTGGCGGGTGGTGCAGTCTTGATTGGCATGGAGACACCTCAGCGCCGCCGCGTCTTCAACGGCAAATAAGATTTCATTCTTCTTCTTCCAATTACATTGGACAATAATTGCGCTCAAAGCAGCCCGTGAACACCTAAACGTCTGCGCCATGGTGTGGAACCGAGTTGGAAAAAGCAGCAGACGGTCGAGCATAATACCCACCACTTCGTCCCAGGAAGCACGGTAGCGTTTGAGTAGTCACCACAGCCGGGAGACCAAGTAGGTAGCCCAACTTATTGACTCCCATGACGTCGAAGCGAAAGTCCACCAGTGCGTTGGCGTCGGACAGCTGTGAGGTTGTACCGGATGTCTGGCATAACTGGGCACTCAACGTAGCTTAACGCACACATCACTAAGAAACGTCGTCGATGTGTCGTTGTTTTCACGAAAGGGGGCAAGCAAGGACAACCAACTCCCACTACGTCAGCACCATCGCAAAGTTTTTGCGCTGTGGATGAATTTACGGATACTATTTGTGAGCAGATCGCCAACGCATTCGTGCAATACAACAATTTTGATATTCCGTTCGAACTGCATTTGACACAAAAAGCATGGTTCGGAGCAGAATCGACCGCGAGCGGACACTTGCAAACCTCTCTAGAGTGGCAAACAGTCTGCACGCGGAGATCCGTGATCGCGCAGCGAGTGATACTCGGTGTGTGCGCAGGTCCTGAGTGAGGTGAAGGCATGGAGGCATTTAGTTTGGTAGTGTTTATATGCCTTGTACTGTACGTACTTCAACAATTACTGGTGGAATGAGCGGTAGGCTGGTGTCGACACTTGAATCGGTTGGGGGGTTGGGTCTGGGACCGGCGTCTACGCTTGCAACAGCTCAGTTGTGTCTCGTACCAGCTTGTTCGCTGGCTTACAAGTGGTGGTGAGGACTGCCGACGTTGAGGAGGGCTTGGGTGGCGTTGGTTGAAATGTGGTGGTAGTTTGTTGCTGGCATTGAATCTTGGACAGGTTGAGCGGTTCAGGAGTCGTATTAGTGACCATCGTGTTGGTTCGTGTAACGTTAGAAGTGATGGTCGGAACTGCCATCGTCGAGGACAGCTCTGGCATGGCGGAGGTTATATTTGCGCGCGACTGGCGGGCGAGCTCAGTCATATTTATGGGGCCAGCCTGGTGATGGCTATGCCGATTTGGTGGAGTTTCGTAGGGAAAAAGTGGTGAATACGTAGGTTGTGTGAGCTCCACATTGAATTGGAACCGCTAATGCTACCCGTTGATTGAGATATACCTCTATCAGGGATTGGTGTGTAGTACAGTAGTGGCCCACCATCTACTAATCCAGGCAATGCCAGCAGGGGTGGCATTCTTCTCTGGGGTCAGGTCGTGGCATGGCTGATCGCCCCATCACGGATAGATGTCCACGCAAACAATAAGCTGCCTCCAGACACAAAACTTGTTTCAGACTCGAGTAAATCCCAACCACCACTACACCGTACACCACTAAACCAACCACCACCATACCCGAGCTGTTATTGACGACGGCAGTCCTCACTACCACTCTTACGCCAGCCAACACGCTGTCCTCGGACCAACTGAGCCCGTGTAAGCTTCGACGCCAGCACCAAGCCTACCACTACATCAAATCCACGGCCACTCCCAAGCGATCCTTACACTACAGCAGGCCCAACCTCCATTTCCACGTCAACCAACAAGCTGCCCACCAAAACCCAGTTGTGGCTACCTAGTACTAGGTACTGATATAGATTATCATTGGCATCGATTAGAACAAATGCACACTGGAGGCTGCAGGAACAGGCGATAGTTACAGTAGTAGCAACGAGAATTACATGAACCTTGCCAACACAACATAATGTTCCATCACGCTTCAAGTATAGCTAGAAGCATCTATCACTGGGATCGGCGCGGTTTGTCGTCTGACATCGCCGAAGCATCTTTGTTGCTGTCCGCCGAACGCCGCACCTCGTTGTCCAGCTCGTCGACGTCGAACATTTCGACAATTCGGCGGTTTCGTACTTTCTCGCACAAACACCGTTAATTTTTTTAAAAATTAACTGTGTTTGTGCGAGAAATGTCATTTAAAAATGACATTTCAAAGTTATATTATTACATTATAACTTAGGGTGCCTCTGGCCCCCCAAAATAGATTCTATTGAAATATGGAATCGAATAGAAAAAATATTTCCCGAAAATCGATGACCTTGCCTCAACAAAAAATATTGTATAAAGTATGTGAGGTATCTGGCCCCCAAGAATGCATGATTTTCACGCATCAAAAATTGCGCGCGGTTTCGTACTTTTCAAACATCCCAATGCGCAGCAAGCTACGACGCATCCTGCCGTTGATGTGGTGGTTCAAGCAACACAACAGTCCATTGACCAGCATGATGCAATACCATTACATCGCACACGTGAAGAAGACCCCAAAACGAGTCTCCGTCTTGACAGGCTCGGCGTGGGTTCACGAGTTATTGGTCGGGAACGACGATCGATTCGAAGAAGTCGCCCGAATGCCAAAGCATGTGTTCAAGGCGCTCGTCAAGGAACTTTTGGAGCACGGCCAGCTCAAACCAACGCATACCGTCAGTGCAAACGAGCAAGTCGCCATGTATCTGTACTTCGCGGGGCATCACGCATCCAGCGCCAACCTGCAAGAGCGATTTCAGCATTCCGGGGACACGATTACTCGCCATCTCCATCGGGTCCAGAATGCAATCCTTCAGTTGGCTGCAACCTACATCCAACTACCACCCGACAATGCTCCGTTGCCTCGACGTGTCCGCGACAGTAGGAAGTTCTTCCCGTTCTTCGCAAACTGTCGTATGGCAGTGGACGGGACCCACATTCCAGTGTCAGTGCCAACAAAAGACGTGAAAGCATATCAAGGACGCAAAGGATTTACTCAAAACGTGCTTGCGGCGTGCGATTTCAACATGGTGTTCACGTACGTTCTTGCCGGTTGGGAAGGATCGGCCGGTGATGGTCGCATTTACGCGGATGCCCTCGAAAAAGGGTATGTGCTCTCTGACCAAACGTTTGACATCATGGATCCTTGACCATGAAGTCGTTGACGCCCTATCGTGGTACACGATACCACTTGAAAGAATTTGGTCAAGGCAGCCAGAAACCTCGTACAAAGGAGGAACTGTTCAATCTTCGTCATGCCATGCTGCGAAACGTCGTTGAACGCATATTCGGCGTGCTCAAAAAGCGATTTCCAGTCATGAGCTCACCCGTGGAGTACAGCATCGGCTTTCAAGTCGACATGGTGTTGTCGCTGTGCACGGTGCACAATTTTATTCGGCTGCATGGTTGCACAAACGATATCTACGTCCAAGAAGCGACTCGGGAACTGCGTGCCAGGAACAACGAACCCATGCAACCCAACGACCAACCCCAACATCACCCGGACCTGGAGACCACTGAAGCAAAAGCCTGGCGTGATCAACTTGCAACTGACATGTGGGAGCAGTACCAAGTTCATTGCAACCGTCGTCATGCACGACGGTAACGTATTCAAGTCTACTCCGTTCCTAGTTTGTGTTCGAGCCATGCAATGCGTAAATCGCCCTTGAGCTGGAGAAACACTGACGCGTTTGATTCGATTTCAAACACGTCACATGCGGCAACAAGTCGCTGCATGGGCATCGACGCAAATTCGCTTTGCAGAATCCCGACGGCTTGCTCCGTGCGCGTGAGTTCCTTGGAAGCGGTCTTGGGCGACGATTGCAATAAACCGCAAAGCAAGTCGAACTGCGTCGCCGTCTCTTCTTTCTGCTTCTTCATCTCGGCGAGCATATCGCCTCCCAAGGATCCACGATGGCGCTTGGGCGGCGGCGAACGTGGGGATGGAGGTGCGCGCCGACTTGACGACTGCTCATGAGCAAGAGGGGAAGGCAACCCATCATTCGTCGTCACAACCTCGTCGTTGTCACTGTAGTCCAGGTCGAAGTAGGGTCGGGGTACATGCTGCCCAAAATCGACGACCGGCAACATGTCTGCGTTCGTGTCGGAATGACCATCCTCTGACACCGTGGATGATGTGCGCTTCTGAAGGCTTCCAGCAACTCTTGAGCCTTTTCCCGTCGCTAGGGTCCCTTTGTAGAGGCTTTCGCACAGATGGAAGAGCGGGAACGGCTTGTTCTTCCATTGCTGGTACTTCTTGGGCTTCGTGGACAAGTACGCATCCCATGTTGTGTCGAGGCAAACTACTAAGCAACGATCTGACTCCCAGCCCATCCCAGATGCCTCCGCCATGGTCGAGATGATGGAGTACTGTTCGCGCAAGGTGGCGTTGTGAGACTTCAGTTGCGCCATCGTGAATGAGCAGCCCGGCTTCAAGTTGAGTTTCTTCAACGCCTCTCCCCACGCTTCTTTCTTAAAGCCAGAGTTCGATCGCTTTCCGAGCACGTTGGCTTGGTGTATCATCTCATTCAACCACACTTGATCGAGTTCTTGCGTCCAGGGGGTCATTGCGCCGCATGTTGTCTTGAGGACTGCAGCGTTCTTTTTCGAAAGTGCATCCGTTCTCTATCGCACAAAATATACAGCTTGGGCACGTATATTTTTTCTAGTATATACGGTCAAATTTGTGTGAGAATTATTATTGAATAAACTGGACTCCAGACAGTCCATTTTCTGTCGATTTTATTTTCTGACAGAATAGAGTGATATTATTCAAGAATTTAGCAAATTCTATTAGAAAACATGGGGGCCAGAGGCACCCTTAACAAAGTTAACCTAAGTTAACGTTAACTTTGTCATAATTTATGACAAACATTGTTAACAATCCGAGAAAGTACATGACTTCGACTAACGATTTCTTAGCAATGGTTGGGCGATATACCATAAACTTTCGCGTGCAAGTAGATCTCGATGGTGTCTATGGAATTTGATAAGAGTTCACTAAGTTGGGACAATAGTGGGCAAGAATCGGAGCATCAAACATTCCATTTTTGAAAAATATAGCTTACTTTGTTCATGAATATCGCAATCATCTAACACTATTTGCTTTACCATCACACGCCATCATGTAGTACATAAGGTCACAACCGTGTATGTAAAGTTTCGCATTGATCCCCTCAATCGTTATACACTTATACTGGCCTAAAGATGGTGTTACGACGATTTCTCCAAAGATAGCAATAAGTTAACAATGTATGTCATAAATTATAACATAACATAGGAATGATGCTATATTTATTTTTATCATTTGAATGTCAAGGAATAAAAATACGTGCATTTGAATGAAGTCACCCAACTCACCCGTTTCCGGAATTATTATCCGGATAGATTCGAATTTCTCGCGGGCCTTCCATTCCCGGAATGGTAGCGCGCTGATCCGACAATTGTGAAGCGCAACTGGTCCTCTGAAGGCTTACGCGATCTAACAACATATTGCACCAATTGAAGTTGTATGTGGCGTGTGCTGATCAACCAGTTTCACTAAAAAAACTGTCGAAATGACCAATTCCCGCAGCCTCCTGGTGATTTATATTTTCGAAAGATGGAAATATTAATAACTGTTGGTTTGGTGAAAGAATTATTACTACAGTGGTATAGTGCTTCGAAGTATTAATACGGTAGTGTGTTGGATGAAACATAACAGCAGAATTTTACATTGGCATGAAATAAAATGATAATATAACCAGAATACTGTATACGGCAGAATTTTAGGCATCGGCGTGAAATATAATGGATCGAGGTTGGGTGAATTATATTGGCGAATCGGTGATAACTTATAAAGTGTGCGACATCTAAAGCCTTTAAAAAATATTAGTATGAGATCCAAAACCGCTCCATGCAAATCTTCAAATGACTTGTTAATGGAATACGCAAGGTGAGCCACCTTGCTCCTTTTTAATATCCAATCAGAGTCCATCACACCTTGCTTCTTACACACGATTGGCTATAACACTGGCAGAATAAGTTACAATTTTGAACTGTTTGGACGCTTGAATTTTGTAGTGCTTTGTGTGATGCTGCTCCAGAGAATTGTGCACTGATGACTGCACTCCGACTATGTCCAATGTGATTCTCCCCTTACAGCTCACATTATGTTGTGCGCTCGAATAGATCGCAATGCCATGATGGCTCTGGTGGGCCAACGCGGTGGCGCAAGACGTCTTGGTAGCAATCCATCGCAAGTGCTGAACGGCTTTAGCACTTTCGATGGGTGCCACCAAGACGTCTTGCGCTACCCGCCTGCGCAACCACGTGATCACTCCAGCAGGGAGGTGTACGGCACCGACACGGACGTTGGTGGAATGTGGGATGACCACATACATTGGTTTAGCACAAGTGGTGATTTTACTGAAGTCTAGACCTGTTCGAATTGACCTAGTCCGGGATACCATATCGCATGATCTTACTCTCATGCACAGCCTACATAATTATCTCAATGCTCCTTGCATCAACCGCCATCACAGGAGTAGAATATATCGCAACAGGGTGTGATAAATCTACACAACGATTTTCGTGATTTCACGCCATCTGATTGGACAAATTGGACAATTTTGAACTCGCAAGGTGATCTGCCTTGCGAATTCCAAAAAGAGACAGCCACATGAAAAATAAAAATCATCAATACAAACTTGAAGATATATTTAATTGAAGATATATTTAATTGAAAGTGTACAATTTCAGAATTACTTATGGAATTCGCAAGGTGGTTCACCTTGCGCTGCATACAAAATTGCCTATTTCACCTTGGTTAGTGACAATTTTTGAGTGAATTCCCACTTTAAATCGATAGATTTGCGCAAGACGAATCAATCGCGGAAATTCGCAAAATTGACAAAATGTATAGAGGCCAATGTTGGTCATACCAAATTGAACCAAATTTGACCGGATAAGTGCTCTCATCCCGGATAAGCTATGTTTTACCGGATAATACCTACTGTATCTGGTAGAAGCGAGATCTTTTGCAGGCTATTTACTGTTAGCCCACTCGAATTGGTCGAAGGTGGATTTGATTGGCTACTTGATTAGTGGTCTGGGTTTTGATTGGTCGATCGAGTGTCTGCCGATTTGGTGGGAAGCAAAGTGCAAGTCAAAACGTCTGATATTTTATAACTAAACCTCTAAAATATTATTATTACGTTAGCCTCTAACACCTTATCATTTCCTTAATTGAACCAGGCATCACAGTGAGATGACGCTCGCCGTATACTAACTAGTACACGTGTTGGTGGAAATATGTTAAAAAAACGCCGAAATTAACAGCGGACTGTAAGCGCAAAATGGAGCATTGTCAAGTCGATCGAAATTGGAGTGGGATGCTGCTCTCTGTCAATCGAATATGCAGCACCAATTCGGCAGACAATCGATCGACCAATCAAAACCCAATCTACTAATCAAGTAGCCAATAAAATCCACCTTCAACATCGAACTACTGTAGTGTGTGACTTGAATTAGTGTGACAATAATATGGACGAATTTTATATACAAAAGTCAGTACTATTAATAGTACTCGGAGTAGTATTATAGCCAATCGAATCGCTAAAAATACGAACGAGTAATAACAGTACCGTTAACGTTAGTACTGTACTACTAGTACTATGGAGTATCAATATTACTACCAGTAGAGTGATTTTGCACCAAGAATCCACACGAATTTTCCAATACAATTTCCCTGAAAATCCTTCGGTGAATATCATGTTGGGAAGGTGCTTTTGCTATAGAAAAAATTCAAATTTAACAGTAAAAATGTAAGCAGGACTACCGCTGTGTGCGTTGTTGCGGCTCTTCTGGAGCACCTACCGGTAGGGCACGGCTCCCAATCGTTAGGATCAACAACCCAGTGCATTAGGTGCAATGTGTACAGTTTGTGACCTTGCACCATCCCTATATGCTGTGGTGTGCATCGCGCCGACGTCAAACATGACCGCTTTGAGGTGGTCGATGAACACTGGGGAATAGGATGTATCTGTTGGCTGGTTTACGTTTGGCACTATACCACTGCTCGCCTACGATATCCTCGCTCATCTACTAGTGCGTCCTACCTATCGCTCATCTACGTTTGGTGCCGACCATGCAATTCATCCATGAAGCGAAACTGGTAATTTAGCATGATGAAGTGTTTTGATTGGCTACTGTGTGTGAAACGGTATTCCCAGTCAGAAATTCTGACAGAATATATTCATCAAGAAATTCCCAATATAATCAGATCAAAAGGCTTCATCGTGAAACTTTTCAGGAAATATCACGTAGCAAAATCAATCACTCTACAGTACTAGTACTAGTAGTATTAAAGATTCAGCTATATTCATAACGTTACTACGAGAATCACTACATATTCATGATACTCGTAGTATGAATATTGCTGAATCTTCATAAACACACATAGAGCATGCTTCCATATTAGCGTATCTTTTGCACCACTCTGCCAATTGGAATTAGCCAAGAGGGCAAGACCAGATATTTCCAAGTACTCCAAAATTGGTTGATCCTGGCGTCCTATGCTCTCGCGTGGCGATAGTTTTTAAGTTATTCATAATTTACGCACTACTACATGCCTTGACGAAGATTACGCACAGCCTTCGCGGGCCAACGTCATCGAGCCCTTCCCCGGGAGGATGCGAATATCGCTAAGTGAAGTGTACCTCCACTTCATGTCAGGCGCCCCCACAAAGGCCTTGTACGCGGTTGTGGCCTGCATGGCTACGGAACCACTGATGCAGTCCAGCACGTACTGAAGCTGGGCCTGCCGGTCTCGCAGCGCCTGATCAGGCACGAGTTTGATGAGCACATTCGTCCACACGTCAAACGTGGGCATGTCCGGGAGTGCAAAGCCTTGGTCCCGAAGGGCTTTGTGCAGGGCGTGGAACTGCGAGAATCGTCGCTGTATTTCATATACGGTCGGATCTTTGTATGAGGTGGGGTTGGTGTCAGTGACAAGGATCGTAAACTCGATGAAGGACCACCGCTGCTGCGCTTCCGTCGGCGTCGAGTAGCTCCACTTCTTGATAAACATGGACCGAGGGCGAGCAGCTTCGACAGATGCGCTGCACATGGTGGTGGTGCTGTTGCTGGATGAGTGAAGGCGGTACTGGCGCATGGACGAAGGCTGGTTGCTCATGGTTGTTCGATGCTGGGCTCGGAAGAAAATAGCCAAATGTGCACTAATAACGGTGCAAACCTTCTACGAAAGGCACGACACGACCACGACCAAGTTGTTGGGGATGTGCGCCTATTCAATAGGCGTTTTAGACCTACGTACCGCTCGAGTATTACGACAAATGCATCGCGTTTTATTTATCGAAACTGGCGTTATATTGTAAAACGCCTGTCTCAAGTGTTCCAAACACGTTTCAAACGTCATGTGTAACTCCCTGTCGTGAGGGAGATTGGACTTGCGGTCGTGCTTACATATATATTTGTCCCGTACACATGTATATACCTGTCAGCAGGGTTTACTGCACTTTGATATACAGCTTGCTTTCATGTTTCATCATGTAAAAGATATACTCCTTTTATTAATACAAAATGGAATAGTAATACTACGTACTACGTAGTATACGTTTATGTGTAAATATATGTACAGATAGTTCCACGGTTCGATGGACGCTTGTATACGACATGTCTTCCGTCCGCTATGGGACACGATGGCTGAAAGGTCATGATGAATGGGCGGCGGAGTTACTGTAATTTGCAACTGCGTTTCCCCAGTTACGGTACTACAGTGCCACGAAGGTTAAGACTACAGTGTACTGTAATGGAATCTGGAAACGTCAAAGGGCAATGTGCAGTTGTGGCGCGTGCTGCTTCTTCGCAAGGCAAAGCAGAGAGGAACTACCGTTACAGTGAATAATACTACATAGGCATAACTTACCATATTTTGCACCCGCCTGACTGTCGCCATCAACGATATGGTTGCCTTTCGCAGGAATCAAATCATGTGATTGACGTTTGTGGTGCCGTTTGTCGTACTACCGTAGTATTGGTTTTTGAAACCGATATACAAATATCTTGTAAACACATTCACTCCGATACATATCGACCTGGTTATAGTCAATTGAAGATAATACATTCGATCTCCTATCGAACGTCGTTCGTTCTTCGAATTGTTACGCCAAAACGTGAGTAGTAACCTAATTACCGTTAATTAAAGTAACCTAGTCAGAACCAGGATGGAAAAAATATGTGTGTGTGATCTCCACGATCAAGCTCAATGAGCTGGAAGTGCTACGGTTGGCTTGGGGTGCTTTGTATTCCAGCGGATAATCCTGGTTGGCATACGTGTCGTGTACAGGTTGGTTCGAGGTGTGAGTCTGTCTTTACACCGTCAAGGCAGTAACAAACAACGTAAATACCTGACACAAAAAGCAGGGTCAACCACCAACAAGTCGTCGTAACGTTAAGCAATTCCACACCTCGAGTTTCAGAAACATACTACGTAGTAGTACTTCTACATAACGTTAACTGTCACTCGACCGTGCCACAGATTGATTGGTCACTTGGCTCCCGCGGAATAACCCAGGCCAAAGTGAGGGTACTGCAATGGCACCGTGTGCAGCTCCTCGTCTAGATACTGCAAATTCAACGCCTGGGGTTGGCCCATCCACACCGCGTACAGGGTATGATCCCGCATTTCCTATGGCTTATGTCATACAACCCAGGACTTAATACATATTACAGGAACCTGTACGGTCAGCGGATGCACGAGCACAGAGAGTCCAGCCCTGTTCGACGTGAACCATTCAAATGCCGCCGAAAAGCTTTCGATGGGAACCCACGTCTCAAATGAACCAGTAGGGTGCGGACCAACCGGCTTCATGTTCAAGCCGTGGTGCGCCAGCGTGCGACATTGCACTTCGTTAGAATCTCGTTCAAAATGGTGAAGTGGCACAGCCACAAAGGCGCGGTCGGCGTCGTTGAGCGAGTCCACCAGGGCATTTCGGATCGAGATCGCTTTATGCACTTGACTGGCGTCGTGTTGGTTAAAGTACACATGGAAGTGCCATTCCAACAACTTCATTGCAGCCTTGCGTTGCATTCACAAAGATGGGAAAATCGTTGTTGACGCAAAAGTCTATTATCCGGAATTCAGATACGGTACGTCTAAAATGTATTAGAGCTCTTTGAGCTTGAGTTTGAGTTTTTCGCCTGTTTTCCAGTGATTTGATTGGCCAATGCAAAAATACTGTATTTGAAACGCAAACCAGTACGCCGATGTCTCAACGACGATTTGAGTTAGAGCTTCAGTCGAGTCAGGTGTGACACATGGCGCGTCATAGGCATATTCATGTTATAACCAATCAAACTACAGTACTACAGCATGTGGAAACCTGCACACAGCTGTACAGTAGTACCTTGCAAAGCATCCAGTAGTTACGGACCCAATATGAACAGACGCATAATATCTAACATTGGTACAGTACTTGATTCAGAATATCTCTTGCCCTATGGCAAGGACAATTTTACCTTGTAATTTGTAACCCAATGCTGTTATATTCTAACCCAACGTCGAAATATACTGTACGGATCTCCAAGTAATATCGCCGGATTGTGATGCAATACAGTAATAGAACCATCGCAAGTACTGTACAGTTCGGTACTCACAGTCAAGTACCTTGGATATCGTACAGGGTGCTGTGTAGCTGTTGAACGTACCACCCAGCCAATACATCGACACTACTAACGCGTTAGTTCTACCGACACAAGATCATACCACGTTGAATATGAAGGGACTGGCGTTCTAATAGAGGAGTAAATAATAGCGTCGTGCCATGTGCATGTTATGTTGGGAACAGATATGTTGGGAACAGGTATTAATACAGGTAGGGTAGTATGTGCAATTACTCGGCCTGTGTGACTTTGGTTTTTGTGTCGACGTTAGTTAGGCAGTCTGATAACGCGTGTAATGACACTGTGATTTATTATTGGCCAGAAACTACAAATATATAGCCAATTAGAGGAGACTTTGTAGGTATGATTCACCGCTTGATCCCACTTTGAATACAATCTTCTCAATACGAGCAAAGTGGTATTGGCCGAGTTCTACCGCGTTTCACTGTATGCTCGGCGACGCTTCATCTGTAAGCTTAGTCGTACTGGTTTACACGACTTACAGTTAATCAAAGCATTCGAATTTCCGAGCGTTGCGTGAGATGCTCATGGGTCACCTAGTACCTGAAAGGTATAGCAACACCGTCGTTCGCTCCCCTTGGAACCTGCGTGTTCAATCAGTCATAATACGGTATTAACATGAAGTACACTGTAAAATGTTCGGCAAACCCCCAACTTTGACTGAGTTTAAAGTAATGGGTACTGACTGTACTGTACTCATGGGTTGTGTCAAACTCAAACTCTTGGCGTCTTCACGTGAGTTTCACTTCACTGCGACATGTTTGACTTTCAAACTCTAACTCACAAAGTGCTGTACTACTACTACGTAGTACTATTAATACGTAGTACTACGTAGTACATGATTATAATAACGTTAGTAGTAACGTGACGGATCGGTGATTTGCCGAAAGATCGGTGCTTTGCTGAACTGCATTACCCAATAGAATTCAAGAATTGATATGATTGGATAAAATAAAAGCTTGCAATATTGTGCTTTCGAGTGAAATTTCGTGTTGTGGTGTGGTTTCTCGTTGGAATTTAAATCGATTTGATTGGCTACCTCAGATGAGTTCAACATTACTAGCCAATCAAAACCTTCTAAATGAAATTCAACCAATCAGATCGATTGTGGATCGGTTTGGTCGGCGCGATTCGATTGCACCCCCTCCCCAAATTTGTATCAAATCGACAATAACTGCCACCTTCAAAATATTATGGTGGGAATAGTACTAATTTAAAGAGGGGCTCAGCTGTTTTTAAATCAAGTATGACCTGTAAAATATTATTACTGCATACAGATAATATTGCTCTATAAATCAATAATTTTGTTTCATCGAAGGCGTAAAATTCCCTTACTGAATAAAAAATAATAACTACAAGTTTAAATTTCGGCAAATCACCGATCGCCTGTTTGAACGCCTAACTTTGACATTTTATTTGCCCTGATTCAAACTCATACTTGTTTTGTATTCGGACGATGAGATAAAGCTCAAAAAGGTGAGTTCGGCACTGCAACTTTCACGTCGAACTTCGCCAGATATGGTTGATTGAATGGAGCTCAAAATCGGCAAATCACTGATCCGTCACGTTAACTAGTTACTACGTAGTATAACTGTAAATGCAATCAAAATGTTATCCGGTACACACACTAGCAATCCGGATGCGGGGCAGCTCGAAAGGTCGCACCCCATATATCCAAATCGACGATGGCGGAGGAGCTACAGCCGACTTCACCGGTCGCAGGAACACCAGCTCAAGGCAGCTTTACCGTTGTCCTTGGAGAGGTCCGACGGACCAATCACGCGAACAATAACGACGATAACGCGCAAGTAGTCCCTTCGTTCTGGGCATCAGTGGATGTCGTGACTAGTGGCGAAGCATCGGCCGCGTTATGGTGGGCATCGGCGCAGGACACTGCCGCCCGAGCCAGCACCGCCGTGCTCACAGTACAGAGTCTATCGGGTGAAGACGAGGTAGGTCGTCGCTGCCATAGTGTAGTGTCGAGATCTTCAAATCGGCATGTATGTATGGCGTTGTAGAACATGGTATCGTCGTTTCGATACGCACAACCGTCCAAGCTGTTTGCGTTGGACGAACCAACGTTGATCCGTCAATTGTGCGCGTCGGTGGTGCGCGTCACATTGTACCAAGGTGGGTAGATTGGCCGCACATTATTACTCCCCACAGCTCCCAAAAACGTGTCGTAAACGATCTTTATTTGTTGATGTTTTTTCAGGTGTGGCGCGAGACAAGGACGTAGACGTGTTGGTGAAAGCGGTGGATGTGCCGCTGCGGCCGCTGGTCGTGGCGGTTCAACTGGACCAACTTGTGGCTTTCTCCGACACCATCGGGGTGCAAGTGGGGGTAGCATTTGATGTGGCGTTTACAGAGTATTTCAAAGGCGCCAAGGCCCTGTCGTTGCTGTCGTTGTCGATTCGCCACCTCCCCCAAGAATGGAAGTTGGTGCCCAAAGAAGGAGAAGACGTCGCGTTGTTGGTGGCGTCCCCCGAAGCCAACGCTGCGAAATACACGGTAGCCATATATTTGGGGGAGATTTCCCAATACCCCCCCTACGCTAAACATTGAAATTGTATGGCACAATATAGGCGACAATTGTCTTGCCTGGTTTCGTGGGCACGGAAGTGGTGGGGGACACCCCCCCCGCTTCAACTGTTTCGATGGCACTCGAAGGCAAGCTCGAACTAAGTGCGACAAAAGACTTCAAAAGTGAAGGCGATAGTAGTAACGACAACGACGACATGTGGGTTGTAAAGTTGGAGCCTGTCGATCCCACACAGCTGTGGTTCCTTTCCAAGGTACGGTTCTAATGTTAATCTTGATTTGGTGCGAATTGCCGAACCCCATTTAATCGAATCACGCGATCACGAATCGCTCCCATTCCAAGTCACTCTGGCATTACATTTCATGATTGGATACATTCTTTTTTCTGTTTATTTATTGCTTTCAAGCCAATGAAATTTTGTGGCGAGATTTGTGATTCGTTTTACGAATCGCGCAGATGTGGGAATTTCGTATCAAGTTCATCATATTGCGTCGAGTGCTTTATTTGGCTTTGTTCTGTCGTATTGAACAGTATTCTCGGGATTGGATACATAAATTATGTCAAATCGTTTCGATACGAGTATTAGCTTACGTTATATATGGTATTAGGGCCAACTCGGGGCGTGCCTGGAGTGGATCGAAAGCCCATGTACCGCCGCCATCTTCATTCAACGTGCCCAAGCCGGTGTCGACTCGTGGACTGCCACGTCATACCTTTCCCTCGCCACCGCCCTGGTTCCTGGCTCAGACATCGTGTCATCGGTGGCGCCGCTGGCGCAGGGGGTGGCGCCTTCGCGAGAAAGTTTGGAGGAAACTCTAGCCAAAGCAACGTCAAGTGACGACAAGAAGAAGGCACAGGCCGCGTTGAACGATTTCGACAATGTCCTCACACGCATCGCAGGTATACTACCCCAACACAACAAAGACCAACAGTGCCCATTCCGCTAATATGAGGACTTTACATGATATATTTTCCCGCCTATATCCATTTCCCATCGAGTTTGCGTATTGATCCAAATGCAACTTGGCGCTGATTGGTCAACAACCTGCATGCGTTGCAGCAAAATGCTTGAGATATGGTTGAGTTTTCTGTTTTGAATCCACACAATATACATGTACTGTATTCCAATATTGTCTTCCTTTTACCCAAAATTTGGACTTTTGTGCTGAATCGCCAAATCTACTATCGATCGATTCTATGTCCTGAATTTTGGATGTAAAATGGTGTCGTGTGGTGCTTGGTATCACACTAATTAAAATCTTACACTAAATTGACGTTGATGATGATAGTTTCCTGCAATCTAAGTGGCTAAATCTTTCTGCCGATGATTCTTGTGTCGACATTATTTGGATATGTCGATTCATTCTCCATGTCGCTCCAGTTTCGAATACACACAACAATATATGTAAAAAATATTTTTTGTCTAGGCCAAGCTGCGTCGTATGTGAGCGCGGGGGCGATGTGCCATGTGGAGGTGGCGTTGCTCCCCGGGGCATGGGTCCCCCTCCCCCCTGTGCCCACGCCTCCAGCCATGACCCTCCAGGAACTCATCCCGCCTCGACCCCCCCTCCCCCCATTTCCCCAACGAGATGCCCAAGTGTCCATGCACAAGGAACTGCGCAAAATCGTGTCGATGCTCATCAAGGAGTACGACAAACTGTTTCTGCAGCCCACGGACAACGATCATGACGACGACGACGAGGTTGGTGGTTGTATGCGACACGGTTCAAACATGTGTTCCCATTTGGATGTTGTTTGTTGTGGGTCGTCTATGCACTGTACCAATGTGACTCTTGGCTTCAAGTAGTTGGATTTGTCTTGTTATTTTTTCCATTCGTCCAACATAGCAATATAAATATTAATTCTATATTATTGATTGCGTTCGAAGTTCCGGACCCCATTCAATCGATCACACGAATCGCCTCCATTGGTCAACCTGAAAATGCTTGTCGCTGATTGGTTACATTCTTTTTTCCGTTTTAATTCGTACCTTCTAAAGCCATCAAAATTTCGCGCGAGATTTGTGGTTGGTATTACAAATCACATTGAATTGGGAACTTTGTAGCAAGTTCATACTATATCGCCAACGACCTTTGCCACATCCATTGCAACCGTGTGGGCCTTGAACTTTCGTATATATTGATTATCTGGGTAGTAGTAGTATTATACTTGCGTGGACTTACTTTGGTTTGAAATTGTTAGTGCACGCTGCTGTCCAAAGATGACCGGCGTCAGAAGCTCATTTTCCACCTCAACGCCGAGGGGCTGTACTTCGATTTCAAAGAAAAGCTCAAAAAAGCACTGGTGGCCGTGATTCGCGAAAAGTTTCCGACAAGTACCGCTTCTGGGACGACTCCCCCCCTTGGCGCCCTCTCGCCTCCCCAACGCCACGACCAAACCGCGTTTTTCGCGCAGCTGTACAGCTACTTGATGGAAGAAGTGCACGTCGTCCTGAACGGCGTGTTCCACGGGGTAGAAGTGCACGAGGCAGAGGACGACTCCCCCGACGCCATCCGCCTCCAACTCGCCACGTTAAAGCTGCAAGCGTGGGAAAGTGAAGTGAACGGCCAGCTCAAAAAAGCGTCCACCGCCTACACCGACCGCGTCCACGTGGCTGCCAAACATGCGCGCGACATCCCCGACCTCCACGCGCCGGTTTGGTTTGACTTTGCTCTGTTTTATGCCCGTATCCAAGACCTGGACAAAGGTACCATCGCCATGTATTATATATATATATGTTTCAAACGATCTAATTATATATATATACATATATGTTGTTTGGAGTATATTATTAGATTGTGATTTAAATATATATATATTTATTTTTAAATATATTATTGCATCGTTTGAAATCTGGTTGTTGTGCCTTGAAAATATATTCTTGGATATTATTTGATGTAGAGAATTGGATCGTTACTTATATATATAGAGAGAGAGATAGAGAGAATTGGATCGTTTGAAAGCTCGTTGTTGTGTCTTGTATGCTTGAACCTGTATTTCATGGTGGCATCCATACCACACTTTGACGAAATCAGATTCTGAGGCATATATATATATACATATATATTGTCAAAAAGGCATCGGAAACCTGATAAACTGTGTACCAGTACTTGGAAACAGGTGTACGAATCATATTTACAAATCAAAATGAGTTAAACACAAAAAGTATATTGAATCATTTACACTATATTTTTGCCGTGTATAGCGGGGGAATGCTTGCGCCAGTGTCTAGCTATCGACCCCACCCACCTCGGCGCCATACAAGCGTACGGAGCGCTCCTGTGCCAAAATCACGAATTCGACGTGGCTGACATTGTATTGAAGAGTGCTCTCGCCATCTCGCCTTCCCCCATCGCAAGCCACCAAGTACTACTACTACAACTACTCGACTAGTCCACATAGAAATATACTACGTTTTAATCATCCTCTTTCGAAGCCATGCACATATATATCAACCTTTCATTGTACTAGGCGAGGAGCCACGGATTACTCGCGGTGTACTATGCGATTTCGCAGTCGGACCGTACAGGCAACCTGCGCCTCCACGAACTCATGCAGGCGGCAGCTCTGACGAAATCCACCGCCACATTCTCGTCCCCCACCGCTGAGTGCGTCGGCATCGCCGCCTACTGCAAAGACCTGGGCTTGTTTTCACTTGCGCAGGACGCCCTCGCCTTGGGGGACGCCGTGATGAAGCCCAAAACGGTGCTCAGCACGGCGGTGTTGGCGACGCAAAAGCTCGTGCTTGGCGCGATTGATTTGCATTTCCATCGATTTGCCGAGGCAAAGCAATGGTGCCAGGACGCACTGGACCACGACCCCGACTGCGCAGACGGGTGGTACCTCCACGGACTGGTGGCATCGACGCAGAACGACCTCGCGGTGGCCCTCGCGAGCTACTCCCAAGCACTGGCGCGCCCCGACCAGCTCAACGATATGTACCGACTGCCGCTGTATTTGCAGCTAGGGGCGCTGTTTATACACCACCAACAATGGTACGTAGTAGTATTTCAGCCAAAATATGGATTCCGTCGATCGACGGGTTTTGGACTGATTGTTGTATGTACTAATGGTTTTGTGAACAAGCCCTTCGCACGCTTTGGAAGTTCGATGGTTGAAGGAGTTTGATTGGTTACTGGAATCGAGTTCGGGGTTTTGACTGGTCGGTCGATTGCCGGTCGATTTGGTGCCAAGAATCGAATAGACCATAGTAACTACTACCGGTAGTTTGAGTGCCTTTAGTTGGTAGCTACTACTTGGACGGCGGTGCTACCAAGTTGTCGCCTAAAGGATCGCCATGATTGTTGTGTTCGTTGGTGTATATTTCCAGTAGTAAGTTCATATGTTTGATTCAACGGTAGGGGGCCGGCCAAGGCGATTTTCCTGCGCGCGTGCCACGAGATTTCAGTCGCTTCGGCCTGGCTCGGCGTTGGTGCGTCGTTCAAACTATATTTCACACAAATCACATATATATATCATTTGTATATCAATTATATATATTTGAAATATCCCTCGACTATCGTTAACGCGAGGGTAGGCGTGGTGTCGGTGCGTCAAGACGACTGGGAAGGCGCGGAAATGGCACTGGCGGAAGCAAATGTTCTGGATCGCACCAACGCCGACGTGTGGGGGTACCTTGCGCTCGTGTGTCTCAACGGTGAGACGCGTTTGATCGATCAGATACGCAGCGCAGTCCGTTCCCATTTATGATTTCATGACCTGATTCTGATTCCGCATATTCTGATTCCGCGATCGGATTCTGACTCCATGCATTCTGACGCTGATTCACCACCGTTTCGTATGCCTTACTTTTGATCCTCCCACCGATACGTATAGCGACCTCCCCTCGTCTGCGCGAAGCCGAACAAGCATTGGAGCAAGCCCTTCGCTACGATTTAGCGGTACATATCAATATACTACACAAATACGTAGATGATATATCCCTTGACGTCGTGAGTATTTGGCTAGAACACGACCCTGCTCCGTGAGCTCAGCAATGGGTTTGTGGCGTTGGATAAACTGGAAGTGGCCGAGTCGCTCTTGCGCCGGTCCCTCTTGGCAGGCGACTCGTCCCTCACCCGCAAGACCCTGGCGGATGTGCTGGCGGCCCAGAACTGCGCGTCCACCGCGTTGGACCAGTACAAAAAGGCGCTGGAAGGGTGCAGCAGCATGGGCGACCGCGCGGCGTTGCTGGCTCGGTGCGCGAACTTGCTCAGCATGCTCGGCCGACTGGAAGAAGCAAAGGAATATCTCGATATGGCACAACATCAGCAACAAGGAGCGGACAAGGAAGCGCTCATTGGACGGCAAGTGCAACAACACCACCATCGAATGGACGGGCCATAGAAAGCACGATATATGGAAAGAGCACTTATATTCGTCGTGAGGTTGTTGGGAAGGCTGGACTGTATCAAGTCATCACATCTTTGGCAGCCTTTCTGCACAGAGCCAGCTAGCAAGGCGGTCGGATAAGTATTTGGGGGGCGGTTGCTCTCTCTCGAGATAACTGTCACTAAGTCTTTTGCGGATGCACTAGTATGCAGATCCAGTCGCATGACTGCTATGGAAGACCAAGTGTCGTGATTGTCCAAGGTACTTGAAGCATAAGAAATGCAACTACAATACTGTCGGGCCCAGTACGAAGGAAAGGTCCGGACATAACAGAGGGCCAGTTCGAAGTACTAGTACACCGTTAGCTGACCAGTCAAAGCAAAACACTTTCATTTTATCGTGTCGGATGTTGGATGCGTGTACAGTAGTGGGGGGTGTATGTCATCGTTGTCGTCAACACCCTGAAAGAAATTCGAGTGTACAACCAACGATACTGCAGTCGTCTGAGAAAACGTGTGATATAGTGCAGTAGTACGAACAACCAGTTCACACACTGGTATAAAGCAATGGTTTATCCACACTGTACGGTACTATACTCGCGCAATGTCGTGTACCCGAGGCGGGCATCCGGGATCGGACCAATAAACGTCTTGAACGCGGCATGGGGGGGCGACAAGTTGATCACGTCCAGCACTTTATGGAGGGAACGTAGTCGGGTGGCCAAAGTGGGGATAGGGAAATACCTGATCCAAAAGTCGACCCAGGAGTTGGCGGGGGGAAGGGGGGGCAGTTGGAACCCGTCGCGGGTGAGGGCGTCGTGAAGAGTATGAATCATTTCCAGTCAAATACTCGATCACTACTACTGTAGTTTGTATGCAAGATGTGATATTTCAGATTCCATTCCGACAAAATTGTCGGAACCAACACAATAGCAGTAGCCCTAACCATAAGTCGTCGTGTTTATTGGTCAAAATTATGCAGGATTCGTTTTTTGTGCCATATGATTGGTAGAAGGATGAAACTGAGGTCATTGGTTGGCTAAAATTAGAGTATTGGGGGACTTCAGAAACTGTCACAAAACTTTAAATTATCCGTATACACGTGGAATATTATTGACCGTGTTGTCTTACCAGTGCTTTGAAATTGTCATAGTTTTCACTTTCTGTACATGCATTGTGGATTCGGTACAGATTTCTAGACCCCATCGAATCACGAAACGACGCTATTGGCTAATTTGGCTCTTACAGAAAGGACAAGTATATTCAAC